GACTTCCTTTAATAAGTCTTCTAAGTTTGGTTTGGTTTTTACATAGTCCCTTACTTTCTGTTTATCTGGAAATGACCTGATTTCACCATATCTGAACAAGAGTTTTGCAGGATATATTATTCTTGGCTGGCAATTTTTTTTCTTTCAAGGTTTTATGTATGTCATCCCATTGTCTTCTTGCCTGTATGGTTTCTGGTGAATAATCCGAGCTGTCTTATTGTTTCTCCTCTGTACGTGACTTTGTTTTTCTTGAGCTGCTCTTTGGATTCTTTGTCTTTGGTTTTAGCGAGTGTGATCATGATATGTCTTGGTGATTTTTTTGGGGGTCTATCCTATACGGGGTTTGTTTTCTTGGATGGTCAGCTTTTCATCTTTCACGGTATTAGGGAAGTTTTTTGTCAGCAATTCTTCAATGATCCTGTGTCTTCTGTTTTATCTCCTTGTTCTGGAACTCCGATCACTCACATATTTTTTGCTTTTGATTGTATCCCACATAATTCTCAGGGTCTCTTCATTTTTCTTCATTCTTTTTTCTGATTTTTCCTCAGAGTTGCATCCAAATGTTAGTCTTCAATTCCATTGATGCTGTCTTCCACTGTTTCAAATCTGCTCCTCAGCCCTTCTATGACACTGTCCATTTCTGAAATCTTATCACTTGGATTTCTAATTGTTGTTTTTGTATAATTTCTAGTTGTGAATTTATTTTGACATTTTGTTCCTGCATTATTTTCCTGAATTATTCCATTTTTTGGTCTGTATTTTCCAAGAATTTGTCTGCCTTTTCCATGAAATTCTCTATTTTTCCCTCATTTTTGTCTGCTTTTTGCTTCAACTCTTGGATAATTCTCAGTATTAGAGATTTGAATTCCCTATCAGGTAGTTCTAGTGCTTTTTCTTCTACTGGAAAGTCATCTGGTGTTTTATTTTGGACGCCTACTGGAACCATCCTGTCCTGTTTTTGTAAATGTTTTGATACTGTCTGCTGTCTTCCGGGCATTCAGTAGTTATTTTTCTCGTTTATTGATTGTAGATGTTTGTTTCATCCTTTTTGTTTTTGTTTTTTAATTTGGCTATGTCTGAGCAGGCGGGCTGTGTGTTCTTTGTTTGCTCGTCTGTGGGCACGATACTTTTCACCTCCTTCTCCAATTGGCAAGGTCAGTCACTCAGATATGGTATAGCAAGGCAGGTCTAGCTGAAGAGGAATTGCTGGGACAGGTTGTTTGTGGCACTAACTACAGCTACCAGGGTGGGTCAGTAATCAGTGCAGGGCAGGTTCCGGTAGGCCGTGCCTGTGCTGCTTGGTGGTGTGATGTTAGGTGCACAGTGCAGGTAGGCAGGATGGAGGGGGGAGATTGTGATGTGTGGAGCTAAGATGGGTATGGGAGAGAGGAACAGGAGCCAAAAACATACAAAAAAGAGTGCTAGGGGAGCTTGCCGTTGGAGTGGAGAGATGAAAGACTATGAAATGGAGAAAAACAAAAAGGGGAAGAAGAAAAAAAAGAAAAGAAAATAATGAGTAAATAAAAATTAGAAAGAAAAAAAGAACAGCAAAGCTCCCAAAGATCCCACCAGTACAGCTACGAGGTCTGCGGAAGTTGTTCCCAGGTGTGGAAGTACAGCCTGGCTAGATGGCATAGAGGTATTCCGTGCCAGGTATCCAGGGGACAGGAAGAGAAGGACGGTATAGAGAGAAGAGAACCTGAGTAATGAAGAGAGACGAAAAGGGAAGAGGGAAAAGAAGACAAAATAAATTTTTTAAAAAAAGAACAAGAAAACCCCCCCAAAAAACAGAAAAAAAAAAAAAAAAACCCACAAAAAAAGAAATGCGCCCAGGGATCCCTCTGTGCGTCTGCGCAAGCTGAGGAGGTAGGTCTCAAGCCGCGCAGCAACGCCTGGCCAGAACGGGCTCCCAACTCTAGAAAAGAAAAAGAAAACAAAGAAAGATTTGAAAACAAACAAACAAAAGGCCCTGGGATCCCATCAGCATGGCAGCATGGACCGGGAAGCAGTTCCACACTCGAACGGAGCTCCATAGCCCCTCAGGAAGAAGCAAAGATGGCGCACAGAGCCTGGTATTTGAGCAAAAGGAGGAGGAGGTGGTGATAGGTAAGGAAGAAATCCAAAGAAGTGGAAAAAAGCAACACCAGCAGCCAACAAATGGCACTCAGGGAGTTGGCCAGTGCGGGTGGATGGAATCCAAGCAGCCAATGCTTCCTGGCCAAGAGACTGGGGCCATGGGAAGCAGAGGAGGCCGAGCGGGGGTGAAGAAGGGTGGGGGGTGGGAAAGCGTATATCGTTAGTTACCCATTGTTCTGTCTCCTGCTGGAAGCTCCGTGAAGCAGCTTTCTTGTACCCCGATTTGTGGTCTTTGATAGGAATCCAAGATGGCAGATCCCTGCTGCATTAGCTGATAGGGGACCTCTCCATGTATGTCTCCTCGCTCTCTGTTCTCTGCCAGTTTCTTATTCCATTTGGTGCTTCGCTGAGTTATCTCTTCATTTGATGTTTAGGATTTCAGGACTGCTGTTTCCTCTGTTTGGCTTGGTTTTTCAGATCCTTGCTGTGGAGGGACAGCTTGGTGCCTCTGCCGCGTTCCATTTCATTTTTAATGATTTCCAATTTTCCTAGATTCACACTTCGTACATTCCACATTCTGACTATTAATGGATGTTTGCAGCTGTTTCTTCTTATTTTGAGTCGTGCCACAAGAGCAAATGAAGGTCCCTAAAGCTTGACTCCATCCACATCATTAAGGTCGACTCTACTTTGAGGAGGCAGCTCCTCCCCAGGTGTCTTTTGAGTGGCTTCCAACCAGAGGGGCTCATCTTCCAGCACTGTATCAGACAATGTTCTGCTACTATTCATAAGGTTTTCACTGGCTAATTCTTTTCAGAAGTAGACTGCCGGGTCCTTCTTCCTAGTCTGTCTTAGTTTGGAAGTTCAGCTGAAACCTGTCCACCATGGGTAACCCTGCTGTTATCTGAGTACCAGTGGCATAGCTCCCAGTATCACAGCAATACGCAAGCCCCCACAGTACGACAAACTGACAGACACGTGGGGGATATAATTGTCTACTATTTTGTAATATGATGTGATTTCCCTATGTGTTGTATATTCTAGCACTATGATGTAATAAGATGGATTAGTGGCAGTTATATTGATGAGGTCTACAAGATTAGATAGTGCCTTAAGCCGTCTTTTAAGATACAAAAGAGAGAAGCGAGCAGAGAGACAGGGGGACCTCATACCACCAAGAAAGCAGTGCCAGAAGCAGAGTGCATCCTTTGGACCTGAGGTTCTTGCGCTGAGATGCTCCCAGACCAAGGGAAGACTGAAGACAAGGATCTTCCTCCAGAGCCGACAGAGAAAGCCTTTCCCTGAAGCTGACTCCCTGAATTTCAGCTTATAGCCTACTAGACTGTGAGAGAATAAACCTCTCTTACTTCTCTTTGTTAAAACCATCCACCTGTGGTATTTCTGTTACAGCAGCACTAGATGACCAAGACACTCATTAACAACCTGTGATACGCAGATGACACAACCTTGCTTGCTGAAAGTGAAGAGAACCTGAAGCACTTACTGAAGACCACAGCCTTCAGTACGGATTACACCTCAACATAAAGAAAACAGAAATCCTCACACGTGGACCAATAAGCAATGTCATGATAAATGGAGAAAAAACTGACGTTATCAAGGATTTCATTTTATTTGGATCAACAATCAACGCCAATGGAAGCAGCAGTCAGGAAATCAAATGACATACCACATTTGGCAAATTGCTGCAAAAGACCTCTCTAAAGTGTTAAAAAGAAGGATGTCACTTTGAGGACTAAGGTGCGCCTGACCCAAGCCATGGTATTTTCATTCACCTCGCAGGCAAGTGAAAGATGGACAATGAATAAAGAAGGCTGAAGAAGAGTTGATGTCTTTGAATTATGGGGTTGGTGAAGAATACTGAATATACCACGGACTGCCAGAAGAACGAACAAGTCTGTCTTGGAAGAAATACAGCCAGAGTGCTCCTTGGAAGCGATGATGGCGAGACTTCATCTCACATACTTTGGACGTGTTATCAAGAGGGACCAGCCCCTAGAGAAGGACATCATGCTTCATAAAGTGGAGGGTCAAAAAAAAGAGGAAGAGCTTTGCAGAGGTGGACTGAGACAGTGGTGCAACAATAGGTTCAAACATAACGACGACTGTGAGGATGGCACAGGACCGGGCAGTGCTTCGTTCTGTTGTACTTAGGGTTGCTATGAGTCGGAACTGACTCGACAGCACCTAACAACAACAACACCAGTTTTAGCACAGATAGGTGAAAGGACAAATACTTAGACTAGGGAAACATCCTTCTCACACCATCTGAAAGCCTCAAGGGAAAACCATCCCTCCAAAAAGGATGGATCAGGAGACCCCACACATCATCAGCTGCACTTACTATCCTCTGCTTCATTTCACTGGTGAATTCATAAGAGGACCAAGCCCCATACAGGACCCCATTAACAGACAGTGCCTTCTGCTACTAACTCTCTCCCATTTTCTACCACATCACACAGTTTGAGACATGGAGCTCTGGTTTTAGATCTGCATAGAAAAGCTCCAGTACCTGGAGGAAGCCAAGAAAACTGTTTGCCGGGATGGGACAAGGATGGCTCTGGCGGATATGGGGCTTGGTCTCCTCAGCCAGAGCCGCTCCGTCTTCAGACTGTGGTCAGAAGGTTCTGTCATTTAACCCAGAGAACCAAGCCCCAGGATGGGGATGTTTAAGGAAAGTGACCCCAGGAATTCAAGGCTTGAAAATCCACGTATGTGTAGAGGAAGGGCCCAGTGACAGGGGAGCAGGGCCTCAGGATGCCTCTTAGGGCTCAGTCCCTTGGCCTCCTCTGCCACCTTTTTACTTCACTGAGGAACCTTAGGGACCGGAGTACACAGTCCCCCAACAATTCACATCTAGCCTCACCCCTTATAGTAACAATACCCCAGTTCTCTGTAGTACGCACCATTTCCTGGCTCCAGCTTCTGGAAGTCTAAATGAACGTGCTCTCTAAGCCCAAGAAGCCTCTTCAGGAAGAGGGACAGCAGTAGAAGCGGAGCCACTAGGTGGTCTGGAGGCAGAAGAATGATGTTTGGTCCACAGAGCCAGTCAGAGCAGCTGAAATCCTTACTTGTGATCGCATAGATGGTCGCCGTCGGTCCTCAGCTGCCTAGACTGGACTATCTCTCCCTGCACCACACATGGGACCTGAAATGAAGTAGCAGATAGTGTTGAGTAAGGAGTGACGGGTTCCTGGACTTCGGTTCTTTCCCTGGGCAGGGGTTCCCCCAGGCTCAAGGCCATGCTGCACTCTGAGGACATCTGCATTTAGGGCAGATCCTGCTCCAGCCTTCCAGAGCACACACTTGCATTCTTCATGCAGCTCTACAAGGCGCTTCCTCTGGCAACGTGACAGAGGGAGGAGCTTCCTCATCCCAGAGCATGAGAGGCATCCAGGCCTGCCCAGGCTGGAGAACCTGAACCCGGCTTCCTTCAGGGTGTCAGGGCTCCAAGGCTTAGGTTGAGGGTTCACCTATGAGGTTAAGGGTTTGCTTCTGTAGAACCCACACACTTTTATTTGGTATCAACACGGGTGAATTTTCAAGAACATATATTTCAAGTTCAGTCAATGAACTCATCACGCATCAATGATTTTTAATTATGTACAGCTGAAAGTCTTCTGTTGTGCTTTTTTTAAAACTTTCATTTCACATAAAGTGATAATCATGAGGCACGTGCCTCTTAGCTCAAGTAGATACAAGACACTAAATGGGCAGCTTCTGTCCGGAGAAAAGATGGCAAGGCAGAGAGGGTTAGGAGCTGGTTGAAAATGGACACGGGGAATCGCGTGGAAAGGAGGAGTGTGCTGTCACAGTATGGGGAGAGCAATTAGGGTCACATAACAATGTATGTATAAATTTTTGTACGGGACACTAACTTGAAACGTAAACTTCATTTAAACTACAATAAAAAAATTAAAAAAAAACAACAACTTTCATTTCATTTATACCATGGCAATATGTGATCAAGGAGCCCTGGTGGCCCAGTGGTTAAGCACTCAGCTGTTAACCAAAAGGTCTAGTTTGAACCCACCAGCCACTCCACGGGAGAAAGAGGTGGCAGTTGGCTCCCATGAAGATTACAGCATTGGAAATCCTATGGGGCAGTTCTACTCTGTCCTATAGAGTTGCTAAGAGTTGGAATTGACTCGATGGCAACGGGTTTTTGTTGCTGAACATGTGATCAGTATTCTTCCTGTTGTTTTTCCAACTAACATTTCTTTCCTCCCCTTGAGTTTAGGTTTTTTTTCCTTCACTCTCTGGTCATGACACCACCAGTCCCCAAGCTGTCCAGAAATCTGGGAGAATTCCTGAACACGTTCTCTTTCAATCTTACAATAATCAGTCAACCAGTAAATCAGAAATCATTGTTTTCTCTAAAGAGCAGTCCCCTACGTCTGTTCCCGTTTCTTTCCCCCCCACTATCCCACCCAGCCGACTCCTACTCTTTTTTTTCCCTTGGTCTCAGTGTAAATGTTTTCTCTCTCTCACATGATCTGTACACCGGCAGCTCTTCTTCAAACATTATCCTTCCTTTTGTTAATTTCTGTAACAGCATTCTCTACTTCTAATTCACATCCTATTTCTATAATTGTTATTTTCAGCATAAACTGGGAGCTTATTAGAAAATCTCAAGCCCACCCCAAGATAAAAATCCACACTCTCACAAGACCCCAGGGGTATCTACATCCAAGCACTCACTGCTCTGCTCTACAGCCTGTAACTGAGGGAACATTCTATCACGTATGCCTTGTCCCAGCCCACCCACCAGCCTGTCCATGCCCCCCCATTCCTTGGCATTGGTGGCCCAACCAGGCCCTGCTCGCCCCTCCCAGCCTCCAGCCTGTGCTGGGATTATCACCCGAAGGTAGATGCCACCCCAGTGCCCCCCCACCCGGGGCTGAAGCACGCTGGCCAGGGTGTGTGGAGAAAGGCCTTGGGGGGTGGGGGGATGGGCGCACCCCTGGCCCTCTCCGAACTAGAGTTCAGGTTACCAGTGAAACTCATCACAAAGGTGGACACACAGACACCAAAGACAAAGCAACAATCCCTGGAGGAGCCTGGGCCAGGACAGAGCCATCTCATAACTGGGCTCTGAGGGCTGCCTCCTTCCTGCTCTCCCCAGCTCATGGGTCTGAGGGTGTGTGATATCTAGGCCTTCCTGGAAAGACTGGGAGCTGGCCCCTGCAGCCCAGGGATGGCCGGGGCTAGGTGGAGAGGGGGTGCCAAAGGCCAAGGCGAGGGCAGAGGCTGCAAGGCACCTGGGAAACATCCAGGAAAGAGGGGCCGTATCAGCTACTCCCCCATCTTGGCTGGAGCCTGGGATCTAAGCCTGTGAAGAGAGGCTGACAGGCGACAGACGGTACACGCTGGGGGAAGAGGGGACTGACCTGGGCTCCGGGGTGCCCATCATGGCCTCCCTCTCCTAGTGGGAGGGGAAGATACCAGTGCCCAGTTCTCATATCCGTGCTGGAAACTGTGGATCATGCCCTAACAGGAGCCTGGAGAGAGGGGGCAAACAAAAGGAGTGTGGTGGGGAAGGCTGTGCTGGAGGACAGGAGGGGGTCATTGGGCAGGGAGGGCTGGCTGGAGATCCTTGGCGCTGCCCCTCTCCCACACTCGGAGCAGCTGAGGGCTGGGAGGCCTGAGGAGGCCGTGACAGGATAGAGGGGGGCAGCTGAGAGCCCATCGCAAACTAATCTGCAAAGCCCAGGCTACTGGAGAAGTGCACACCTGTTTAGACCCCTTCCTTGCCTCGCACCACCATCAGGAGTGTTCTCCTCATGAAGCTCACCACTCCCCCAGCCCCCAAGGCCAGGCTTCAGTCTCAGGGCCCTGAGGCAGGCAGGGCGCAGAGGGAGCTGGACCTCCAGGCCCCACCTTGGCCAGCCCTCTTTCTCGGAAGCTTGGTTCATTTCTAACTCATTCCAGAAAAGTGATGTCTCGACGAAAATTCCAGAGCAACAAAAAATTGGTAGTAGCTACAAAAGCCACCTCTCATTACCCAAGATACGCACAAAAGGAGAATATGTCAATGGTATTTACAGAAATGATCCCCAGCGGTATCAAATGGCAAACCCCTTAAGTGACACCCACTGGGACTTAAGTACAGCTTTTAAAAAGAAGGACTGACTTCTGTTGTTTATAAACTTGGAACAAACTAGGTGACTTCAACAGTACCAGAAGATTCCAACTCCTCATGAATTTCTACTGCTGTCTTGGAAGGGAAGTGGAGGAAATTCTGCAAGTCCTGTCCAGCATCCCATCTGACAGACCCTCTCCTAAGGTCGTGCATGCCCTAGTCTGAGGGCGGTGGCTCAGTATGGGGGTAAGAGACTCTCCATCTGGCAGGGGGAGGGCAGACAGGGCAGGACTCTAGACTGAAGGGGACAGTCCTCTGGTATCCAAAACCCAATCAGAGGGAGGGGAGGTTGGGAGTTGGCTGGGTTCCTGGCTGTTCAGGGAGCAAAAAAACAACGAATCAAAGTTAGACTCCATGGAGAACTTCCAGCCAAACTATGTTGTTGTTGTTAGGTGCCCTCGAGTTAGTTCAGAATCATAGCTAACCCATGTAAAACGGAACAAAACACTGCCCAGTCCTGTACCATCCTCACAATTGTTATGTTTGAGTCCACTGTTGCAGCCACTGTGTCAATCCATCTCATTGAGGGTCTTCCTCTTTTCTGCTGACCCTCTACTTAACCAAGCATGATATCCTTCTTCAGTGACTGGTCCCTCCTGATAACATGTCCAAAGTACGTGAGATGAAGCCTTGCCATCCTTGCTTCTAAGGAGCATTCTGACTGTACTTCTTTCAAAAGAGATTTGTTCGTTCATCCGTCACTCCACGGTATATTCAGTATTCTTCATCAACACTATAATTAAAAGGCATCAATTCTTCAGTCTTTCTTATTCATTGTCCAGCTTTCAAATGCATATGAGGTGAATGAAAACACCATGGCCTGAGTCAGATGCACCCTAATCCTCAAAGTGGTATCTTTGCTTATTAATACTTTGAAGAGGTCATTTGCAGCAGATGTGCCTAATGCAAAGCATCGTTTGATTTCTTCCACGGGTGTTGATGGTGGATCCAAGTAAAATGCCATCCTTGACAACTTCAATCTTTTCTCTATTTATCATGATGTTGCTTATTGGTCCAGTGGTGAGGATTTTTATTTTCTTAATGTTCATATGTAATCCATACTGAAAGCTGTGGCGTTTGATCTCCATCAGTAAGTGCTTCACGTCCCCTTCACTTTCAGCAAGCAAGGTTGAGTCATCTGCATAACACAGGTTGTTAATCAGTCTTCCTCCAATCCTGATGCCCCGCTCTTCTTCAGAGTCCAGCTTCTCGGATTATTTGCTCAGCATACAGATTGAATAAGTATGGTGAAAGGATATAACCCTGACATACACCTTTCCTGAATTTAAACCACGCAGCATTCCCTTGTTTTTTCCGAATGAAAAAGAGCACAATTAAGTGCTCCAGAATTCCCATTCTTCACAATGTTATCCATAATTTGTTATGATACACACAGTTGAATGCATTTACATAGTCAATAAAATACAGGTAAACATCTTTCTGGTATTCTGTACTTTCAGCCAAGATCCATGTGACATCAGCAATGATATCCCTCATTCCACATCCTCTTCTGAATCCAGCCTGAATTTCTGGCAGTTCCCTGTCAACATACTGCTGCAGCCACTTCTGAATGATCCTTAGCAAAATTTTACTTGTATGATATTAATGATACTGTTCGATAATTTCCACATTCGGTTGGATCACCTTTCTTGGAAACAGGCATAAATATGGATCTCTTCCAGGCAGTTGGTCAGGTAGCTGTCTTCCAAATTTCTTGGCATAGGCAAGTGAGCAATTCCAGCGCTACATCTGTTTGTTGAAACATCTCAGTTGGTATTCTATCAATTCCTGGAGCCTTGTTTTTTACCAATGTCTTCAGTGCAGCTTGGACTTCTTCCTTCAGTACCATCAGTTCTTGATCATATGCTACCTCCTGAAATGACTGAACATTGATCAATTCTTTTTGGTACAGTGACTATGTGTATTCCTTCCATCTTCTTTGGCTGCTTCCTGTGTCATTCAGTATTATTCCCATAGACTCCTTCAATGTTGCAACTCAAGGCTTG